GAGGGTTTTACCAAATCACAAATAGAGATGGATGCATGACTTTCAGGAGTTCCAGGATGACCGGTGGAGCAGCAAGGGTGTCCATTAAAAAAAGTACTTCTTCGAGCACGTGTCTCGAAAAATTCTCCAATAGAGACCTCCATCCTGAATACGATTAAAAATTGTACAACGATATTAAAAAGATAGTTTGAAATCTTACCATCACGCCGAAACATAATTTTTCCTAGATAAGGCTAGGTGCCTATGCAAAATTTCAGGATCTCCCAGGAGCCTGACGAGCCAACACGTGAAACAGCCAGCAGCAAAATGGCCCAAAAATGACCTCTCCGGAAAAGAGAACTTGACCCTGATATTGAACTTGACCCAGACATTGAACTTGTCAAAAATCATCAATATCACGGAACATCAAAAGTTGGAATTGGAACCAAAGATCGAAACTATTGACGAATGAAATGTCTCGTAGCAGTATTTCTAATTGCACCTGTACACTGAGGCTGTTGGTGATGTGATCTTGAACCATACGACTATGCTCCGCCTCGAGCTAGATACTCACGAACATAACAATAGACCCAAAAGGTCTCGTGCTGATTGGAAATTGATGTCATAGAGAACGAAGAATAAGAATGTATCGAAGCAAGAAAAGAGTGACAGTGGCTCTAACGAAGAATTGGTAAACCATAACCAAGACGTAAACATTGGATGATTTTATTTCAAAACAAAACGAAAATAATTGGATCACTTAAAAATACCCAGACCCATTCGATTCTACAATATGTACAATTTATTTACAATAGAGGTAGGTGCAAGCAGTTTTCTAATCAAACCTTTATTTGATTTTTATGATATGGTTGAATTCCATTCTGATGGTTACCTTGTTTATTTTCAGTGCCTGCATCTTTGAAATCAAGTAGACTATAGAAAACAGTGTGTTTTCGAAGAAGACAACACTGTGTATTCAAACGAGAAAGGTAAGGTTCATTCAAGTACCTAGAATTTATTAATATATGTTTGTGTTTGTTTTCTAGTTATATTATATTACTGCCTAATTCATCAATCCTTTTTGTTTCAGTTTACTACCTGTGAGCGTTCTGTTGGATACAAGATGAGAAGTGATATACAGGGCGCTTTGATATTAGATGTTAAATTCTGAACTATGTCAACTGAATTCATCAATAAAGGTTTATAAATTCGACAGTGTATATCTACAGAGTTTCTCTAGTGTTTTAGTAGAAAATACCATGAAAAAGGTAACGTTTGATATAGGCAGGTTATATTAGCAAATGAAAACGTTACAACTCCATGAAAACTAATGTGCCTCATTATACGCCTTTTAGAGTGTGGACACGCTTGTCAGCACTGACATTTTTGAGTTGTCATTATCCTCAGATTTGAAACGTCAGTTTTGAAAATTGAATAGGCGTCCTCGCAAGAATGTTTTCAAATATATCTTGTTCAGTAAAATTCTGAGAATGATGGTCAACATTTATTCGAGTTGCCCAAAGACGAGACATTTCAAGTGTTCGTTGGAGATTCAAATTCTAATATGTATTTCATGAATATTCATTCATTGATATATTGATATAATTACACAATAAGCATAATGTGCCTTCGATGTTACGCCAATGTGAGGGTTTCACTAATATGTCTGCACTCGTTCAATGCAGGAGTACAGAAAAATGACATTCCATCTCTTCTAAAACATATTTGTATCTCATGTTTGCTGTTCAGCTGGTGTACCAGCATGACAAATTTGTCCATACACCCGGCGAACATATATCGCGTGGGCCTTGAGACGCCCTTCAAAAACTGCCGACAGACTACACCAGCGGGCCACAATTATGATACATCGTCCGCCCGACTAGCCCGTGTCGACCGCACTAATGCCCCACCCTGTATATTTCCAGAAAATCAGATCATGAATTTGGAAATATCGATGGAAACATGCTTCTACTCGACCTTCAAACTTTCTAGCAGAAACGAAATGTTATGACTGCTAGGTCAGTTGGTTTTTCACTACGTCTCAGAGACGGCACTGCATCAACCGACTTGTCTAATGACCCCTATCTTCTTCAATATTAGCCATTGTCTTTCCGAAGAATTGATCACCACACAGCACTCATTCAGTATAACCTGAAGTTGATGAACGTGAGTGGTTCATTTTTCAAAATATGTTGGGTGAAATAGCGATTGCTGTCTCCTCGACGCATATAAATTTTTTTGAGTTCTGACTCTTACTCCATCCTGAATAGTTATCGACTTATCGATAATTAATTATTTTCTTAATTTCTCTTCAGTAGTTCAATAGATTATGACAAATTCTGAATCTTCGAAATTTCTCTACAACATTTTGATCTTCACTTGAATTCATGTGAGGTTTTTCTTCAACAGGGTATATATATCTCGCCAAAATGAGTGGTTTGGCCAGAAGTTGTTTATATAGGAAATCGAAGATAACGGAGGTACAAGCATTTCGAGGTTGAAAAAAGACTCCAACTATGATTTTTATTTATTAAGATGTCCTAATAAAGAAGCAGCAAGAAGAGTTGTTATCAGTCGAGCATGATGAGTCTTATTTTTCTATTAGGTACTCTACAGTTGCATTGTTTCATCAGGAGAAATCAATCGAATCTCCTCCTTTCATTTTCAACCTCATGATTTTCGGTTTGAAGTAAACCAAGAAAACTCCGTTATCGTAAATTTTTATTGAGAGCGTGTCTCACTTTGGAGGCTCCTCCCCCCTCTTTATCTCAGCTATCGATGATGCGATCATCACCAAATTCAGAATGGTAAGATTTACCATGAATTTGATCATTATCGTTTTCTTGTAATGGGAATAGGTCGATTATTCATAAAATTATAGTAGGCATTGCTTTGCAGGAAAACTAATTAGTTAGGTGATACTTGGCGAATTCACAGACTCTAGCATAATCTCTGATACTTGAATACAGTGGTGAAAAATAATTTACAAAGTATAAGTTAATATTAAGGTATTTAGAACACGCGCAATTTTTCGATCACGACGGCCTAACCGGAAAATAGAGAGAGTTTTTCAAATACTAGTTTTTCACGAATACATTCTCTGCTATATAGAATATACGAATATGCTCTCGACTACATTTTCTAAGTCATCTGGTGTTTGGTTCATCAGAAACGTCTAATATGAGAGTTCATTCTGGTGGACATTATGACCATTTGAATTGTGCGTATATTGCTGAAAGACATATTTTGTAATCTTTTGGAGCGCACGGAAAACCCTCAGTACAGTCTGAATTTAAAAGTGACCAAATTTGTACAACAGTACTATTAAAAATCTCTGATGACATTATGACAGCTCTTGATGAAGATAAATCGTATGTGATGTTCTTATTTGACTACTGCAAAGCATTTAACACTCTTAATCATAGGTCACTGTTTTCGATCTTATCTTATAGTGGTTTGGATATCTGAGCTGTGGATGTATTTAGATCTTATCTATCTATCTATCTATCTATCTATCTATCTATCTATCTATCTATCTATCTATCTATCTATCTATCTATCTATCTATCTATCTATCTATCTATCTATCTATCTATCTATCTATCTATCTATCTATCTATCTATCTATCTATCTATCTATCTATCTATCTATCTATCTATCTATCTATCTATCTATCTATCTATCTATCTATCTATCTATCTATCTATCTATCTATCTATCTATCTATCTATCTATCTATCTATCTATCTATCTATCTATCTATCTATCTATCTATCTATCTATCTATCTATCTATCTATCTATCTATCTATCTATCTATCTATCTATCTATCTATCTATCTATCTATCTATCTATCTATCTATCTATCTATCTATCTATCTATCTATCTATCTATCTATCTATCTATCTATCTATCTATCTATCTATCTATCTATCTATCTATCTATCTATCTATCTATCTATCTATCTATCTATCTATCTATCTATCTATCTATCTATCTATCTATCTATCTATCTATCTATCTATCTATCTATCTATCTATCTATCTATCTATCTATCTATCTATCTATCTATCTATCTATCTATCTATCTATCTATCTATCTATCTATCTATCTATCTATCTATCTATCTATCTATCTATCTATCTATCTATCTATCTATCTATCTATCTATCTATCTATCTATCTATCTATCTATCTATCTATATATCTATCTATCTATCTATCTATCTATCTATCTATCTATCTATCTATCTATCTATCTATCTATCTATCTATCTATCTATCTATCTATCTATCTATCTATCTATCTATCTATCTATCTATCTATCTATCTATTTATCTATCTATCTATCAATTCAGGACTAATGTATATTATCTAAACATAAAACATAGAAATACTCCTACTAAACCTCCTCACCATACATACTGATTCATTCAAACGATCGTTTCCTCATCGTATTACTAAACGTCGTAATAACTTACCCCACGATTTCACTTGCTAACCACTACATTAACTCAAACGCGTTCTTTTTCACTACTATTCATCTGAACAATAATTGAGATTTTCGGATTAAAATTGGTCAAGTGATAAACTACATTATTCTTTCTGTGTTAATATGATTTGATTTAAATGATTTATCATTATTTTCGCTGTTTCGGACTTCTTTTTGTGGTTAGATGACAGAACAGATGTATGTTAAATGTTAAATTTATATTTAATTTTGTACTTTTATTCCATTACATACATTCAGAATCTTGCCCTAACTATACGATAACAAAATTCAATTATATATTCCATCAACTGGTAATAAAGACATTCATTATTATTATGATAATTATTATTATTATCGTGCGTACCTTGGGAGGGTAGGAAGTTCTAAAGGAATCTTTCATTGGCAGAGAATTTCAAAGCTTCGCCGCTCTATAGACGAACGGGTGTTGGTGAAGTGTTGTTTGATATATTTCGAAGTTGACAACGAATAAAATATTATTTTCGAAATTCACTATCATACTCACTTTGAATCCATCTTTGTTATCGATATTGAATCCAGAGAATGTGAGATCAGTTCCGATGATGGAAACACAAAACATTGGACAATTTTTGATATTAATATTTTTGAAAGATCCACGTTTGGCATTGATCGACATTACTCTCTCTGGTTTTGTAACACCAGCAGCACCCCCATTACCATCCCAATATTGTTCACCACGTCCATGAATTAGGTGATCTATAATGTAAAACAACATGTTATTATGAATTTACTATGTATTCAAGTCCAAAGCAACATCATTTGACTTGAATGCACTTCGCAATATCATTCGAAACAAAGCTGATAGAAGAGAATCTGACGTTCTCGGCTTTGAGAACAATACCAGTAAACACACTCACGTCGTATCAACTCAGTGAAACCGTCGATTGAAATAACGTTTGATGGAAACTGTTGAATGTTGCTGATCTACACGTTGCTTTTGACCAGTACACAAAGGTGTTTCCAACTGCTAATTTGAACATAAATAATCGCTCGAAACCAGAGGAAACTGCCGTTATATCAACCAAACTTTTCACGAGAAATAAACGTAACATATCAACGTTTTGTTGCTGTTTCAAATAACCATAATCAAATTCTGAAAGTAGACGATTCAAACGTTCACTTCGAATCAATTTTCAATCGTCTAATCCTCAGTTTCTCGAACGTTATTTGAACGTTTTAGCCAGATTATTTCTTGTCATTTTTGTGTCCACAATTATTTCATCATTATTCTCCTCATCCTCATACTTATTGCAATTATTATAACTTTTTTCTCAGTGAGGTACCATCTCTACGTATACCTATTCAAATATGCTCGACTACTCGTATTTGTAACAAAACTCTTGGTGTGAGCGTCGGCGTGATATTAACGAAATGAATGAACGTTTTCTAACGACGATTAACTGACGTTGTTAGAAAACATATATTTCACGTTCAATACTTGCAGGTCAGGAATAATTTATTTCTGGTGTCGATAGTAGGGTACTTTTGAACAGTGTGCAAAAGATCTGAGCGGTAATAAAACATAAGAAATACGTTGTTTGATTCCAGGTTATACGATTGGTCATTTCAATCGCATTTTTCATCAAACAACATCACAACCATATTCCATCCAAGAAAACTTTTTCAGAGCATTTATATATACAGGGTGTTCCAAAATGCCTGGGACACACAGCTACACTACGTGTAAATGTGGTCAGAATAAATTCATTCGACCCAATTATTTATTAATATACCAAAATATACCGTTTGTCTTTGAGAATAGTCCAAAGTTTACATTAAAAACAAATTTTTGTTTCCTGTTCAGAAATGAGTGAAACAAATTCAATGATATTGGACACGAATGCATTTTAGAGGATTACTCTCCTTTCAGTTATCAAATAAATTCAAAAAGAGTTGTAGAAGGATTGAAAATACCCTCACACCCTGACATATTTTTCAGTACATTCTTGAGAGTGGTAATTCGATTCTCAAATTCTCTCAACTAGAAGACAAAATAATCATAATTTTGTTACTCTTGTAAAAACTTCGTACTTTTCATATTCCCCAAGAAAGAAGATGTTTGATTTTATAATGCTAACAGATATTCCTAGTACAAGTTTGATAACATTGTGATACAGAATTCAGTTGACAGTGGGAACAAAGGCAGAAAGTTTTATATAATGAATGTTCAATATGATGTTCACCTTCAACAATACAAAAGTCGTTTCGACGTTAAAAATAGCTGATGATAAATTCCTGCTAATGTCTTAATTTTAATTTTTTTATTTCTTAATCCTGATTTCACATTTCTAAATCAACCCAAATTCCCCTAATGCTGTTATAGGACTCTGGCGTCCTTTTCAGCATGCGAAAGAGTTTATTTTGTCTGGATATCAAAAATAATAAAGGTTTCGAAAAATTTGTTTTGTTTTTTTATATCCTCGAAAGTATTCTGAATTCTCCAAATTTCGAAACGGCATTTTGTCTGGCATGAAATTGCGCGAATTTGCCATAATTCAACCAACACTGTATTTTTTACGAGATCCCAATGATGGGGCTCTGATTCCAGCCACCTTGTACATCCTTGGTGATTTTCCATATTGAGAAAAACGTTCTATTATAAAGTATCCCATACGTAGGAGCATTACGTCTCAAAGTCTTGCATTAACTATTGATTGGATCAGTATTTCCTGATTTAAATGGAACGTCTGATGATCGTTTGAAGAATCCGAAAATCAATTAATCATGCTTCTCACATAGTAAAGTGATTTAATCAGGTAATTTCTAGCAATTATTCTGCAGTACGTTGTGGATGTGTCGTTTCACTGAGATAGAATGACATTGTATTGCTTGAAAGTATCAACGTTTTGTTTCAACGTTCAATAGTGGTTGAAGATGGACACAAAGTTATTACAATTCATTGATTTTTGGAAATAAAACGTATAAATGACGTGTTAATTTCTCGGTTTTCTTAAAAAAAAATCCACGTCGAAGTTTTCAACCAGTAACGTTAGTTTGTGTTTACTGGGATAGCTATGACAAGAAATGTGCTAATGAAATCAGACTCTTTGGCTCCATCAGTGTTTGTTTCGAAAAAATGAAGGCATTTTTGATAATCACTAATAAAACAAGTTGAATTTGTTGGGATCATTCCACTCGTAATTTCATGATTGAAACAATAATTTCACGTCGTATTTTTGTTTGCAGTTGTTGCGTTATGCAAATAACAATACATCAAACAATTCAGATTGTCAAATCTATGGGACATCGATTGTAATGATATGATAGTTATGTTAGAAATCATGTTATAAGCAGGAGGTTAGCAGTTTACTCATAAGTTTAGAGTTAGGAAAAAAGTCCATGCTCAAAGTGGGGAAGAATTGTTCAGCACAAAGAAGACCTCTCAGTCATCTCCACAATTTTTAAATGAAATTATTGATAGACTTGTTTCGGGTATATACAGATTGACCCACTTGAGACCGGTGCACTCTTATAAAATCAATAGTTTTCAACCGATTTCTTTTTTTTTTGTTCCAGCAGAGAGAGTTTATGAAGAACTAAGTTCACACAAATTTGCAGAATATAATTCCAATTTTCGACTCCACCAATAGATTCAGCATCCATCAAGTGGGTTTAGCGCAAAATTTCAATTGTTAACCCTACGGAAGTGGCGCCCTATTTGTTGAAACGAAAGGTGGCGCCGGGTCTCACAAACTTTTCGAAGAAGTGAAAATTCCAAATATTTTGGCTGATGAATAAAGATGAGAGATGATTCAAAATAAGCTTTTTATTGTGCAACGTATTACTCAAAATAATCATCGGATTCGTTAAAAAAACTAATTTGTGTAATTATGCTGATATCGATTAATTTCACTGCCACAAGAAAAAATCAAAAAGTTAAAAAATTCCACGTACAGAAATCGATAAACATATAATGAAATCTCATCATTCAGTGATTTTTCAGTGAATTGAGGCTAGCTGGGCACCAAGCTCTGAAGTGAGAAAGGCGTTAATTTTTTTTACACTTTTCACAGTAAAATATGGTTATCGAGTCTCATGTGCAAAAAAAACCTCTTTCGTGATCCTAGAAAAACTTGGTTGGTTGGTGGTGGTCCTGGTGCATCAATATCACCAAAAGAATATAGTTTCACCTTCTCATCTAGTAAACAACGTTGTATATTATATTCATTCATCAAAATCGATAGTTCACATATATTATGATGCAATCTCACTTGTTTCCTCTCGTAACTCATTTCTAGAAATTTCAACAGTGAAAACCAACTGATAATCTTTCATGATAAGAAATAACTCACGCAATTGATAACAAATGCCGTCCACTATCACTAACAAAAAAATATCATCAAAGGTGGCGCCTAGTCTATCAGACTTTTTGTCCAATATATCCCTTGGAACGACACATACACATCCCCAACCTTACGTAGAGATACTAGTGACCAAAATATGAAGGTACCTAGGAATACGAAGATTTGACTTTGATCGTCGACAATTGAAGAATGATTATAGATGCGTCGGGTCTCTCAGGCTTGGCGCCACTTCTGGAGGGTTAACAAAGTTATAACAGCATCAATTTTGCTAAATCACATTTTTTTTTAATATCTCAGACAAATCCTGAGAAGCGGCAACATTCTCAACTCAAATATTGGAAACCATTGAGGTTTCTGGTAGTCATTCGAAATAATAACCCAAATTATCGAGCTAAAACATCTAAAATGGAATTTATCTTGGTATCAATAAAAAGTTTCATGAAATAAAAAATCCATAACGTCAAAAACCGGGGAACACACAAATCACCAGAATGTAAAATCGCAGATCCGTAATCCATCAGAATATACATTTTCAAACCAGTAACTTAACAGAACAATATTTTATAGGAATCGTATTTATCTCTACTGTAGATGCACAGAACCGCAATCCCTCAAACCGTATTTTGTATACTGTACATGAGCATACCAGACAATAACAGATTGCAAATGCGCAGATGTGTATTTTTCTATAATAGCAATATCGCAGATCCGCAAATATACAGAATCGAAAACTAACAAACCAACATCACAGCGGAATGATATTTCATCAGAATCATAACAACACAGACCGTAATTCGTCAGAATCGCAGAATGACAGACCGCACATTAGCAGACCGTACTTTGTCAGAATCGAAATACAACAGACCGTTTATCGACAGAATAGTAAAATGTCAGAACCGTACATTGACAGAATAGCAAAAAATCAGAACAGCATATTCACAGAATCTCAAAATATCAGAACTGTAAATTGAAAGAATCGTAAAATGCTAAAACCGTACATCGACAGACTCGTAATACAACAGACCGTATTCCATCAGAATCATATTATATCAGAACGTACAATGACAGAATGTACTTCATCAGACTGTAATGTCATATACTGTATTGTGATAGAATCGTAAACTATCAGAACCGTAATTCAGCAGAATAGTAAAATGTTAGAACCGTAAAATAACAGAATCGTAAAAATTCAGAACCGTACATCGACAGAATCGTGAAATATAGGAACTGTACGTCAGCAGAACCGTAAAAAATCAAAACCGTACTTTGGCAGAATCGGAATTCATCAGAATGTAATGCAGCAGAACCGTAAAATGACAGACTGCAGAGGGGCCTACCAGCCACGCGCAGAGCGAACGCCGGTCACAGTGTTGCCTGCTCTCACGTCATGTG